TATATATTTTCGTCCGATTTTAGGTAAATAGTGCATCAATGTCCCTATATATCCTTCGATTTGCACGAAATTTGGGATAGCGTACTGAATTATGTCTGGAACGATGTGTGTTAAATTTCGTGAAAATAGGTTCAGATTTAGATATAGCTCCCATATATATTTTCGTCCGATTTTATGTAAATGGTGCAACAATGTCCCTATATATCCTTCGATTTGCACGAAATTTCGCATAGCATACTGAACTAAGTCTAGAACGATGTGTGTTAAATTTCGTGAAAATCGGTTCAGATTTAGATATAGCTCCCATATATATTTTCGTCCGATTTTGGATTTATAAGTAAATTTGGATTTATAAGTAAATAAAGAACTCAAAATGTGGCCGAATGCAAAAACCATACTGCAATAAGTGTAACCTATATTTCGATATTTCGCTTTAAATTTTTTACATTATTTTGTCCCATCGTAAGAAGCAACTCTATACCTGACCAAAATTTAGTATAGGTTGCAGAATGACATGTTTAATTTCATGTTAATGGTTCTTCAATAATGCGACGACTGTTAGGATTCATCTGTTTAATATACCCACAGTGGTGAAGGGTATCATATAGTCGGCCCCGTCCGACTTTACTACTTTCCTTACTGGTTTTATTTTGGATTCTGGCAAACATCTGCCCATAACATTAACATCATATGCCCAAATTTTTCCACCCGAAAACTATCTTATATGACATTTCAAATTTTATGAAGGCCGTCATACATTTGAACAGAAAATGATCATTACAGGTCCATGTTTTTTAAATAGCCACATATAAAGGACACTTTGAGGTTTTTTTTGCCACATTTTCTAACCGTAAAATATCTAGTTTGACAATTCGGGTTTTAGAGGCTTTCATATGTCTGTGCAGTAAATTTGTGCATTTTCGACACTTGAGTTTTGTTGTCGCATATTTCAACACAAAAGCTCTACTTTAGCATATCCGGGTTTTGTAGGCTGGCATACATATACGCAGTAAATGATCATTGCAGGTTAATGTTTTAACATAGCCCCAATGTATAAGAGTCCTTCTCAATTGTCGATATTTTGAGATTTTTAGTCGCAGACAATTTACAATGCCATAGTCTCCTAGAATAATCCCGACTTTTTAAAGAAATGTTGTATGGTGGAGAGTATAAAAGGTTCGGGCGGGATAAACTTCACAACGTAAATATTTGATAATAAGTAAAAAGCTTGAGTATTTGTAGCCTCCTCAATTCGCGCTCCTAGGAGAAAACTCATGTTATAATAGGACCTTGAATATACCGAAATGTCTTGAAAAAAAAAATGATTACCTAATAGGGGGCTATCGTTTTATGGGGTTATACCAAAACGGAGGTCATTATTGATAATTTTGGGTAGTGAAATAATTTTTAGTACATTGGTGTGGGTGTACCGTTATATGAGGCCACACTCAAACTCGGTTCAAGGATGTGTTATAAAATGAGAACCCAAAATACAAAAATTACACCAATTTGATTGAAAAACTTATCCAAAATTCCAAAAATTGGGGTTATATGGGGGCTACCCTGAAACTTGAATTAATATAAATAACTTCAGGCACGGATATGTGTTATTCAATGAGAACCCAATACACCAAATTCGGTTCGAAAACGTGCCCAAAATCCACAAAATATCGAATATGGAGGGTACCGTTATATGGAGGCTTAATCATAATGTCGACCGATATATCTAATTTCCTATACCAATCATCCCAGGAGTACCTGTAATGTCTGTACAAAACATCAGAGCTCTATCTTAAATATTGTGATGGTTTCTTTATAAATATCGGTCGATCTTTGGGTGCAGATCTCATATGAAGGTCCAGCCGTTTTTGGGTATTATTTGCTATATTTCAGCATTATGAAGTGACTGACTTCGGCAGGAAAACAAATTCTAAAAAAAATATTTCAATATAAATCCATTGTTCTATATAAATACCATACAAAGGTTAAGGTAACTCAATTCTCCAAACTATTGTATAATAATTCGTCCTCTCCTGGCAGCAAATTACCATCACAGAGCTCAAATCTATTTAAAAATTCGTCAGGCCTAACTTGACGATGTTTAAAATGTTTGGTTAATTTATCAATAAACATCTTACAAGATTTTATGTTTGGAACCATTTGACCTCTTTGTTCTTTGTGCTATGTTGTCCTTTCAATATTAATATAATTATTTATTGAAAATTACATAATCGTCTTCCAGTCACCCACCACTAATTATAGCATTAGAAATGTTATCCAATTGTTTCCCTGAATACAATATTATTATGAAATTATCCAATTTTCTCATTCACCTTGATAATCCAATAATACAAGACTTCTTTTTTGTTTTCGACGATTATTATAATTAGTCTTTATTATTAGCTAATTACCACAATTGGCAAAGTTCTACAAACGGTTGTTTGTAATACGCATTTAAATGTGGGCCAACGTTAATGCTACACACAACTACCCCAATCAGCGTACACCCACAATAACTAAATTTTATTAGGCTGATTTATTATTCCGTTGTAGGTTAATAACCGAACCAGACGGTTCAATACATTGTTATTAAATATTTAAATGGAACAGTGGCACACAGTTATTATTTGGTTTACTAATTATGACAGAATAATTGGTATTTATTTTTGGGGGCGGGCGTGATTTAAGAATGCAAACAAACACTTTTTGATATTCATTATGGATTGGATTGCTAATTTTGATAATCAGAATTAAGTTTTTATTGGCTGATTAAATTGGTCATCACAAAGTTATGGAATTATGTGTGCATGACGGCCGGAATGAAAATGTGAATGCAAACGACAATTGGCTAAAAAAGAGAATAGAAATTGTCTATTGGAATTTTGAAAATCTAACTATATTATTCGTCATGGCGATGACGTTGAAGGCAAATGGAAAAATACAATGAAGATAATAATAAATATGAAAAGGAGTAGAAGAAGATCTCCCCAATTCTCGCTTCTCAGGGTTTAAGGAGCCTCGGTCTCAAAAAATTGATTTCTTATTTTTACCCAATATGCACTTATAACTTCTTAAGAATCTCTCGTTATAATTTCAACTGAAAATCTCAAAAACTCTTGAAGATATGGCATCAAGCGACAGCAGAAGTGCTTCTCAAACTTTAAACGCGTTTTTCGCGAAACAGTGTTTATACCCTTCACCACACCACACCACCGCACTGTCGTACAGGGTATTAAGTCTTTGTACATATGTTTGTAACAGGCAAAAGGAAACGAGATAGACACATGGTTCCTTTTAAGAATATGCATAGAATCACTTTTTAAATCGATTTATGCATGTCCGTCCGTCCGTCTGTCTGTCTGTCCATGTTAAATTGTAAACAAAGTACAGTTCGCATTTATTATCCGATTTGGATGAATTTTGGCACAGCTCACTTACTTGGCCCAAGGACGAACCCTATTGAAATTGGGAAAAATCGGTACAGATTTAGATATAGCTCCCATATATATTTTCGTCCGATTTAAGGTAAATGGGGTACCAAAGTACCTATATATGTTTCGATTTGCACGAAATTTGGCACAGCGTACTGAATTAGGTCTAGAAAGATGTGTGTTAAGTTTCCTGAAAATCGGTCCAGATTTAGATATAGCTCCCATATATATTTTCGTCCGATTTAATATAAATGGTCCAACAAATACCCTATATATCTTTCGATTTGCACGAAATTTGGCATAGCGTACTGAATCAGGTCTAGAAAGACGTTGGCATATTGTAATGAATTAGGTCTAGAATGATGTGTGTAAAGTTTCCTGAAAATCGGTTCAGCTTTAGATATAGCTCCCATATATAATTTCGTTCGATTTAATGTAAATGTTGCACCAAAGTCCCTATATATTTTTCGGTTTGCACTAGATTTGGTATAGCGTAATGAATTAGGTCTAGAATTATGTGTGTTAAGTTTCGTTAAAATCAGTTCAGATTTGGATAGAGCTCCTATATATATTTCCTCCCGATATTAAGTACATAATGCATATAACTTAACCAGTGACAAGTTTCAATGAAATCGGTTTAGATTTCGATATAGCTTCTATATATATATATATATATATATATATTTACATAGGGTATCATATAGTCGACCACCTCCGACTTTACTACTTTCCTTACTGGTTTTACGATTGGCGGCGACGATAACTGAAAAACAATTAATAATGGATATGGAGTCTTTCTAATTGTGTTTGAGTTTTGAGATTCCGATGTAATCGTCAATCATGCAAACAGCAATCAAAACAAAATAATATTTTGTCAATTTATTTTCTTCTTCTACAAGTCTTTAACATAATGTATGCTCATTTGCTAGCCGGTCAAAGCTCCTCTAAATTTTAAATCGAGAATGGGTGGGGTCCCCAAATCTGCAATTATGTTCTATACTGGATATGCAGAATTACAAGAAAATTTCCTATTTTACGACATAAAAGCTTGAGAATAGTTCAAGAGCATCTATAACATCTACGCACAATTATTAATACGTTTTTAAAGCAAATTGTATATTTCGAGTTGTTATTCGATTTTTATATAGAACCTACCTAAAATATTTTTAGTCCAAATGTTCTTCTTCCTGTATTTAATATGCTACAAAATATACTATCCTCCTCATACTCCATATTTTATACTACTATACTATCCTCTACTCATATTTCTTTCCACTTTAACAATATCACTATCCAGCAAAACTAAAGTTTTGCGAAAGAAATATTAAATTTTGTTCAATGTTTTCAGAAAGTGTACAAAAATGTTATCACATCATAAAGTTACGAAAAAAAATTTGAAATTCAATGTCATAGAAAATGTAAACAATTCGCAGGAAATGCCACTGGCTATCATAATTTATTTATATTTATTTTTTGTCTTTTCTATTTTTATATTTTCTTTACGAATTGTGTTTTTTTTACTTAAATGCTAATTTTTCTTTTGCATTTTTTTTGCTCCCATCATTACAGCCCGTGGCAAAAAGAAGGAAAAGAAGAAGTACTTGTTGCCCCTATTGTTGCTCTTCAAATTGAAAATGGCCGCATTATTGCCCTTGGCAATTGGTTTCTTGGCTTTGTTGTCGTTCAAGGCTTTGGTCATTGGTAAAATCGCATTGATTTTGTCCTCCATCATTGGTCTGAAGAAATTGTTGGAGAAGAAGGAAAACTATGAAGTAGTGTCTCATCCTCATTACGACGAGCACAGTTATGGACGTGCGTTACGTGATGCCCAAAATTTGGCCTACAGTGCTTACAAGAAATAAATTGACACTGACAGCAGTAAAGCGGGCGACAGCATAGTACAATCAATGATGGGCTAGCAAAAAAAAAAACTGGAATTCTTGGAAAATATTTTATTGTGTTTTTTTTTTTTTTTTTTGAATATTTTCCCAGATATTCGTCACATTGGTATATTTATTTAATATTTATTTTTTTAATGTCTAAGAGCCTCTGGGAGTGCAATACATCCTGATAATTTATTTATTTATTAAAACGTTTACATTTTTTGTATTTATTTATTGATTTAATTTTAATAATTTATTATTGATGTGCATGTAATTTAAAAGAATTTTGTAGGAAAACTGAAAATCAAAAGAAGAAAAAAAATAATAGCCATGTTTTTTTATAGCGCTGAAAACTCTTTAGCATGTCTAGCTAGGAACAAAGCGTCAGAATATAAATGTTAAACAAAATAAAAAAAATAACGAAATAGTAACAATTGTTTGTTGTATCAATAGTTTTTAAGTTTCTACCAAATGAAGAATATAAATGAAAACTCTTTGAAACTCAATAGCAAATGAACACACAAACTCACATACACATACTTGTTTAATTTTATTTCTACGCTTCATCTACAATCTGACTTGGTTCACACACTCACTTACCGAATACCTCTTTAATCCTCTGGAATGACTTAATGCTAACTAGACATCTAGTTCATACTGTTTTTTACAATAGATTGTGTCTTATTTTTTAAATAATACTATTGTTGTAGGCTACTATCTATCTACTGTCACTTTTTTAACTATAAAGCTTTATAAATGCATACAATATCTTTTCAAATGAATTAAAGAGCAAAACTATGAAAAAAAAGAAATTTTGGTTTTATTTAAAACAAAAACTGGATTTTATATTTTCTCTTTATAGAACAAATTGTAAATGTGGCGAATAAATCAATTCATTGGGATTATTGTCAAGGGATTATTTTCATTGAAATACGATTATTATTTTTAAATGTGTCCTTTTAGGGCTGTAAAACATTATTTGCCAAAAGGAATTAGCAATATATACAAAAGCTGTAAGCAAGGTTGGTAAAGATGCAAAGTGGTATTTGATTTATTCTCCTTTAAATAAAAAAATATCCAGAATTGGGAAAAATACCAAATAGAACACATGTTTCGTTGTGTAATACTTGGTTGTATGTGCAAAATTTGGAGTCATCTTTTACACATCATTGATATTAACCCGTTATGGCCCAATGTTGCCCACAGGCAACAAATGTTTTAGAGCTTATATGTAATATATAACTAGTATATAGTTACACAACTTACACGAAATTTTAACTTTGTGTGGTTCATTATGTAATGTATAACTAGTATATAGTTACACAACTTACACGAAATTTTAACTTTGTGTGGTTCTATATTCTGAGCTTGAGCAATATTTCGTGAAATTTTTACCCCCGTTGACCGACTAGAGGTCAACAAATATTAGTAATATTCAGTACAGCACTTCTAAATTATTATCTGATCGTCACCGAAAATTATAGGCGTTGCACCTGACCATAACTGGAACTTCATGGAACATTTCAAAGCGATCAGCGCTATATTTCCGCCCTCTAGTGTGGTAATGGGTTACAAAATAATATATTAATACGTAAGCACCTGTAAATATTTACGTGTAACTCACACATCCGAATACACATGACAATATAATTGGTATCAATTTAAAGGCCAACCACTCCTCTTGGATATACTGTCAGCATCTCGGTTCTGTCCTTCAGGAGTAAATATATACGCAATAGAACACTTTTTTTTAATTTTTACACAAAAGTCAGTGTACATTTGACCCTCTAAATATGTATACCCGATCTTTATCAAAACAGGCATGCTTCTCCAGATATTTGGGCTATAATTGCGGCCTCAGTAGCGACCAGAAAAACCGACAAAAATTCAGTATTTGGTCCACTTCATCCCGTAAATATTAACCGATCTTTACCAAAAACAATAGGGGTCTTCATTGAGTCGAACCCATCCTACATTTCGTGAAGATTGGTCCATAACTGTGGCCTGTATCGTGTTTACAAATTATAATGGACAGACGGTCTGATGGACACACATGTCTAGATCGACTCAGCTAGTCAAGATATGACGATCGGTATACTTAAAGGTGGGTTTAGGACCCACCTTTGGGTGGGTCCAGGGGCTGCACAAAGCTATAATACCTGGACAACATGGTTTTGTAGGGTATAAAAATCTGAAAAATTCAAATTTTTGGTAATGTTAATAGTGAAGAGGACAAATATGTGTACAGTACTAATTTGTGTATACAGTCCAAAGCGATTTAAATCGTGTAGTATTCGAATTGTACGAATTCTGCCACCAGAATTATTTTAGATTCTTGTAAAAAAGAATATAGAGAATAATTTAAAATCAAATTTTCGTCGATTTTGCATTTGGGTTCCTTGATATTGGAATTTTATTTTTCAGAAAGTATGTACTGTATCTCCCGAATGCAAGGATGTAGCGATGTACTTAGGATAGTTGCATTAAATCTGTGAACAGAAAACTGTTCTATGATTACGAAAAACAAATCGAGGCTCAACGGGTTAAAAATGACGAATATAAGAGCTACATTTCTTCCGAAAACAATTTCAGTCAATAAGGACACTCATCATTTTTATACCTCCACCATAGTATGGAGGGTATACTAATTTTGTCATTCCGCTTGTAACTCATCTAAATATACATTTCCGATAAAGTATATATATTCTTGATCAGGGTAAAATCCTAAAACGAGGTCAAGTTCAATGATAAAGGTACCCTCAATTTTCGGTTTTTTGGGGTCCTTAAGCACGCTTTTTTACCGAATTCGCAGACATTTCTTAAATTGGGTTATTATTGGAAACTAAATTGTTCGCTGAAATCGGTACATTGGGTTCTTATTGGGTACTCAATTGCTCCACAAATAATTATAAATATAGGTCTACCAATTTTCTGCATTTTGGTGTTTTTATTATATTTTTCCACCTCCCGAAATAAAGCCTGGGTAAGTTGGTTATGGTCTCATATAACCTCTAAATTGCAGTATTTTGGGATGTTCCACCCTACCATGCGTCGCCAATATCGGCGAAAATGTTGATAATTTTTGGAGTAGGTACCAGAAGAAGTGGACCAATGGGTCCCATCTTTCTACTTGATCTAGGCATGGTTAAGATAATAAGTTATACAAAGTTTGGTTCAAATAGGATAGTCCGTTCGCATGATATTGTAAAATTAATTTTTTGCGCAATTTTGACCATTTTGTATGAGAGGTACCAGAAGGAGTGGGCCGATATTCCCCATCTACGAACTTGAACTAAGTTTGGAAGAAATATAATTGTGCAAAGTTTGGATGAAATCCAAATTTTCCGACACGGGTTTGGTCCAAAGAAACAGCCAATATTTCGATGAAGCACATTTTCACCATATCAAAGTGTATACACCCTCATAAGGCTGAGAATATAAAAATCCATTAAAAATGGCTGAAATTTGTATTTGGTATACATTATGGTATGTTCCCTATATTTTCATTTCAAGTACCTGTCCAAAGTTCGGCCCGACCGTACTTAACGCTTTTCCACTTGTTATAATTAATTCCGTTAAATGGTTAAAAAGCTATAGAGCAACATCGTGCAACGTGGCAATGTGGTAAACTAAAACAAATTGTTTCCAAAACATAATATGTTGCCTAAGTATACTCCTGGTCAAACATTATATATTAGGTTGGGGAAAAATAAATCCATTATGGCAGTATTGATAGATTTCTAGTAAAGTATTGATCAAACAATTTCAGATTTATGGGGGTGGTCAATGATAAGTGAGATGTCCTCAATGTAATCTAGCTCCATCTGACATTTACATTGGAAAGTTTAATTTTTTAGGGTCAACGTACTCAGTACTAACATTTATTGTAGGAACCAAAATACACAATAACCATCAATTCTGTTGAAAATGTGCCCAACAACCAAATAGTTGGACCGATGTGTCCCATTTTCAATACAAAAAATACGTATTTTAAAATCAATACATTGCTACTCTTTCCTCATGTTAAGGACAGACAAGAGAAGACTAATAATTGGATAGCATGAAAGTGAGAGCTCTGGCAAGTCGGCTCAAACCAACACCAAAATTAAATGGCCATGTGCCGCACAGTCCTGGTTTTGAATAGTTAAAGGAATTAAATAATCACATTTCCTAATCTTTTCATCGGAAAATAAAATAATAATTTATTTAGACGATGTTGGACTGCGACTACGATTACTCAGATCTTTTCGCATTATTAGTGACATTGTCCAATCATCTCCATGGATAATTCAAAGGGCCACTAACAAAGAGTATTACCTACACTTTCCCAGTGGACAAAACATAATATATTAATAGATCTGCAACCACTATATTGTTTCACATAGGCCTTAATTGATTTGTTAGTTTAAAAACTACATTACAATTAAGAAAATAAAATTTCCAGAAATAGGTGCTTAAACAAATACTGGCAGAATAAAATGTTATTCTTACTAGAAAACGGGAGTTTTATGAATGTTCTTATATTAAAATATACAAAATGTTTGATTCATTGGTATCAGGTAAAAGAGTGCTGTTAGCTTGGTAGAATATAGAATTATTTTTACTTGATTTGTAATACATTTTCCATCAAGTAAAAAGGGGCATGCGGAATTGTAATACTTTACTTTGCATGATATTACAAACCAGCCCAAACAGTTTGTGCCAATTATCCTATATTTGGGAATCCAATCGTGGTCTTGTACCTATTCAATTTAATCCTCGATTAATAATTTTTGGTGATTTCCTAATCAATTTTTTTTAATTTTTGGTGATTTCCGGGAACTACAAACCTTACCTTCCTCCTTTAACTATTTTAAGGAATTTCCAGAGACGACTTACGACTAAAGTTGTTCTATACCTATATACGTAGCATAAAAATTTTCCATGAATTCACAATTTTTAAATTGAGAATAGAACAGTAAAAGTACAGTACTATTATT